ATGAGAGACAGAGAGCATGAGAGGGAGGAGGGTCAGAGGGAGAAGCAGACTCCCTGCCGAGCAGGGAGCCCGATGCGGGACTAGATCCTGGGACTCCAGGATCATGACCTGAGCCGAAGGCAGTCGCTTAACCGACTGAGCCACCCAGGTGCCCACATCTTATATTTTTATGGGAGGTTGCATATTTGTTGTTGTTGATGCTTATTGGCTATTTGTGTATCATTTTTTATGGTGTGTTACAGTTTACATCTTCCATGTCTTTTAATTAATTAATTAAAAGTAGGCTCCACACCCAGCATGGATCCCAACATGGGGCTTGAACTCACAACCCTGAGATTGAGACCTGAGTTGAGATCAAGAGTCAGATGCTTAACTGACTGAGCCACACAGGCGTCCCAATATCTTTTATGTCTTTTTAAATTTATCCGCTGATCAGCATTAATTTCTTACAGTCTTGCTGATTGAACATACCTCTTGTTCTCACCCCTTACAGTTTGCAGTGCGCTAAGAATCCTCAAGCAGACTCCCAGCTGAGCGTGGAGCCAGACTCAGGGTTCCATCCCAGGACCCTGAGACCAAGACCTGAGCCAAAATCAAGAGTCGGCTGCTTAACCGACTGAACCACCCAAATGCCCCGAAATAAATGGATTTTAAAACATAATTTGAAAAGTTATGACAACACTTAAAAATTGCATTGGCTGTAAGAAAGGTCTTGCAAGCATCTTTTATAAGCATTTCTATATGCTCAAATTAGTTTTCACCTGGATATTAAAATAAGCCATTACCACAGATGGGTTTTCTCTTCAGATCCCTGTTCAGACTCCTTTTTAATGCCTTTGATGTCCTTCATCCTCCAGGGCATCCACGCCCCATCTCCCTCCCTCCCACCACATACCATCAACATGCCACACACCCTATAGGACCCAGTCCAAACCTCCTTTCCTCAATTACGAATGCCCACCTTTCCCCCACCATAACTGAAAAACTCTTCCATCTTCTCTGTCCTCATGGCACACTGTTTTGTTTTGCTTTTAGCAATTTGTAGGTCTTCATAATTTTGCAGTGTGGTCTAGTTATTTGTGAGCATTTGATTTTTCCCTGTGGATCGTAAACATCTAAAGAAATGGGAGTGAACACAGGAGTCATACCTAAATACCCAAATGTTATTTGAGACTATGGTTCCAACGGTGGACATTTGAAGGGCATACCTCTGAACTATATGGAGATTGAAATAATGTTGTGGGAAGGTTAGAGACCTGGCATTTCTGGAGTTTCAACAGCCTGCCCTCTTTTAAAGTTGCAATGACACTGTTTCATTATAAAGGTCTGCCCAGACCCTCTCCAACACACTACATGTAAATGCCACGTGCACGTGCATGCCTGCGTGTGCCTGTGTATGTGCCTGCGCGTGCAGGGGTAATCGATCCTGGGGCTGCTCTGCAGGAGAGAATACCTCGACCTCAGAGCTTCTTCCTCCCAGTTCCTAACGTCTCTGATCACTTGAGTTTTCGGCATTATTTCCTTGAAGACGTTCTGGGGCTCTCCCGGGTGGAGAGCAATCTCCTGCCCAGCACAGCGTTGCGGGGGGGGTGGGGGGGATGTGGATGGCAGAGTGTGGCATCCTCCAAAACAAAGCGATCGCAGACTTGCTGAATTAAAACCCAGCCGGCTTAGGACGATTTCCAGGTCGCCACGCAGCCGGGGCCGGAGTCTGTCCGGGCTGAGGCTGGAGGAGCCCTTTCGGGCCGGGGATGCAACAGGGTTTGGGGAGCCGCGGGCAGGAAGAGAAAAGGCCACCTAGCGGGCTTTGTTTCTGATTCGGGCAGGTTCCCGAGCCACAGATTTCAAGCGGGAAGCTAACCGAAGCACTTCCTCGCACTAATTGGAAGGGGAAGGCAGTGACTCATGTTACACCAGCTCGTATCTTCCCTCCCCGTAACTGCTAAATTGTAGCTTTAAAAGGAAGTGACATGGGGTGGGGAGAGACGTCAGCTGAGGACCACTTTTTTTTTTTTTCCCCCGAAGGGTCCACCCCATGGGTGGAGTCTCGCTTTTTCTTTCCAGTGTTGGCTGACTTACAGCTCCTATAAACTAGTGGCAATTTCTGCACCCCAGCCTGCTCCCTTTCAGTTTCTGATTTCTAAGCCCATGTGGCAGGGGCCGCCAGAAAAGGAGGTATGTGCTGTTCGTGCTGTTTCCAGGCGACTTCACCTCTGGGCGTGGCGGATGTCTGTGTCTCTCTCTCTGTCACTGTTCTCCTCTCCTCGGCTGGACCTCACTAAAACCTCTGGAAGGGGTAGGTACAGAACGAGGAAGAGTGGAAGGTGGAGAAGGAAGTGAGGCGACAGTGGGGACGTGGAGGGGGCAGAGCCTGAAAGGCAGAGGGGCTTTGCGCCCTTTCTTTGTGCTCAGCAGGGTGAGCGTGCCTTTCCAGGTTGTGATTTACAGCTGCTGTTCTGGGATGAGTTTCCCCCCTTAGGCCTCCTCCCCTTGGGTGAGAGCGTTTTCTCCGCAATAGATGAAGCTGGGGAGAAGGTTCCTGTTACGGATCGGTCTCCTGGGTCATGCAACACGTTCTTCCGTCCCTGGCGTTTCTATGGCAACCACAAAAATAATACTACACAAAAGGCAGCCCCGATATAAATGGATTTATTTGTATTTCGGTCGGAGCCTGCTTGCTGCTTTCCGGCTGGTGATTGCCTGGGCTTGCTAAAATCCAGCGAGGCTTTGTGGCTACCCCTCCTCACTTTCATCTTGGTTTTTCCCTATCACAGGAGGGCTGGGGGGAGGGGTGTCGTCAAGGAAACGGGCATTTGTAATTACCTCTTCATGACTTAATTTTTGGCCTCTGAATTTCTCCATCCTCTCTAGGAATTATAGAAGGAATGATTTGGTGTTTGTGCAAGTCCTCAATTCTGGTCTGTTTCAGAAAACCAGGACAGTTCTCTAGACGTGATATTAATGCTGGAACCAGACTAAGGGGGGGGGGGTTCCAGACTAAGGGGGGGGGGCGAGCACTCACTTCTTTAAAGGAGGTGAGATCCTTGAAAAAAGTTTCAGAGTGTCTGAGAATCAGCACTGATAAGATACATTATTATCTGCCTCACAAGTTTGCCTGATCGTCTAAATATTCAAAAGAGGGTTCTTTGCTCTAGCCTGCACTTACTCGGCACAAAATCTAAGTTCAACAAGTATGAGTGATCGTCCTTAGACGGATTCCCCATGTGATCGGCTCTCATGGAGGTGAGGGTCCGTGGACCTTCTCTTTTTCAAAATTGGGAAAGTATTAACTCACCTGTGATTATTCGTGAAGCATCTGCAGTTAGAAAAGACTATCATAAGAAGAGGGAGAAAGTGTGTGTGTGTGTGTGTGTGTGTGTGTGTGTGTGTGTGTGTAGGTGGGCAGGGACAACAGGGACAAGTCAAAGTCCTAAGTTAAAACTACTGAATCTTCTTCCTATCCCCTATGGGCAGAAAGAGAATTGATTTTCAGGAAAAATATAAAGCATGAGAGAAAAGTACCATCTACCCAGTAATAAGCAAAGTTAAATAGGATTAGAATCAATCACACATCTGCTATAAAGGCATAGTCTAAATGGGCCTGTTAACAGGTTGGAATTGAACTGAGGCTTTTATTCAGTATATCTGAGGAAATATCTAATAATGGACACTATTCCCCTAATTCAGGATCCTGAATTACAAATTAGCCTTTATAAGACAGATCAGTAGTCATCTCATCCTTGAATCTTAAAATTACCCGTAATTTTGAATAAAGATTTCTGAAGGTCACTCAGCCCTCATAGTGCCTTCCTGCTACTGAAGCCAAAAGCATTACTTAGAAACCTCAGAGTAACCCCTCAGCATGGTAACAGGAAGAAGGGGTGGTTTTAATGAGATTCTGTTTGCAGAGATCCTTACCTAAACATGCTATTATCTGGGACTTAAAAAACTTACTATAGTTCAAGAGATCTCAAGTATTGTAGATACAAAAGTTATCTGAAGATGGGGACTGCTTAGCATGGCACAAGACTAACTAGAACCAAAGAGAGTTAAAGCCCAGAGAACTAGTTAAAGGGCATAAAGCACAGAAAAATGTCCTTAAAAAGCATATTACTCTCACTTTGAAAACTCATGCTCGTACCCACGGCAGTTGAACTGTAGGCTTTCGATGTTTGCAAAGAGCATGGAAAGCAGTCTTGCTAAGTTACTGTTTTTCTAGCTTGAAAATGGTCCTCAAGGATGTAGATTTACCCCGTGACCCTGCAGAGCAGATGGCCAGTGTGTAAGGCAAAGTCTGTGATGGAGTTTCCAGACCTAGCAATTTCACAACAAAAAAGCCTTATGGAATGGAGTTCAAAGGGCAAGAATTGTTTGGAAGCACAGCCAGAAATAAATAAATAAATACTGTCCTATCATCGGACCCTGAGCAGGGGTTAAAAACATAATCAACATCCTTGACCTGGGGAAGGTCAATGGAGCTGTAGATGCAAAGCGAATTCAGGGTCCCGGGAAAGAGGCTGAGAAGATGTGACAGCAAAGAAGTTGGAGTCAGTTGCCACAGGGCTGGGACCTCACTGTCTGCAAGGCTCTGAACTGGGTGCCCAAGTTAAAGATCCACCAAACGGGGGTGACAGCACGTGCAGATGTGCACACAGCTGGAGAGCAGGAGGCCAGGCAGGAGGGAGACGGGAGACCAGATGCGGTTGGTCCGAGAAGAACATGACCAGGATGAGGATGTAACAGTTGGAAGGAGAGGAGATGGGCAAGTCAAAGGGAAGAAGGCAAAGTTGTCCCAGGGAACGGGTGTGGGGGCTAGGAGATGCAGCATGGTTCTCCATTCTTGTCCCAAGTGGGGAGAGGTCCTGTCTTTAGTGTGGAAATAGGGCAGGTATACTCTGTGCTGGTGAATAGAGATTCAGGGACAGAATTTTGTGTAAACCAGAAGACAGATTGATAGGAGAAAGATGTGAGTAGGTGGTGGAATCCTACCTAATCCAGTTATTTTTGAAGTGAAGGCCAGACTTAAATCAGACTTTAAACAAGTAAGAAATCTGGGAGAGGGGACCCCACCTGTCCCTACAACGTCATCCTAACGATACCTACCATCGCCATAGCTTTAAATTATGGGGAGCTCAGATGAGCACGTGGCCGACTTACTACATTTTGTGCAATCTGCTCTATTCTCAAAAGGAGGTCTAACGTGCATGTGAAGACTCTGCATTCATAGTTCTAAATGGTTTTTGATACCTACGTGTTTTGAGAGACATATGTGATCAAGCCTGGCTTAATAATCACCCAACACCACCCAGAGCCTGGGCAACTCTAATTCAATAGTCTTTGTCCAAGACAGAATCTGTTTGGAAAGCAAGTGTTGGTACTCTGAAATTTGGCTTCGTGGTATGGACCAGGGAGGACCACTGCTACGGCTGTGGGAAAGGGCAAGCTCACATCAGGAACTCTGTCTTTTAACAATATTCATTGTATCTTGTATTCTTTTAACAGTATTCATTTTATCATTGTGTCACTGTATTCTTGTATCTGCCAAGTGCTATGGACACAACTATGAGCAAAACTGGGTGCAGAGTAAATAGCTACATTTTCAAATATCTGAAGGGTTTTTCAGAGAGAATACATCTAATGACTGAGTAAGGAGAAAGATCTTAAAATAAAAGCAATTTTTGGTGAACATTATCATGGAATGATCTATCTAACCTGCCTCCTGTATTTTTCAAACGCACTCTTCTTCCACCAAAGATTTTCTACCTGTTTTCGATTTTGTCTTCACTTTGTTACTCCAGTCTGGTTTTTTTCTGCTTCATCCTATGATCCTAAATCCTACTTTTCAGTCACCTTTCATTCATTCATATATATACACGCTTCCATCATCCACCCCTTTATTCATTCCCTCAACAAATGACGTTGACTATCATGTGGCCGGCATTATAAGTCATGGACATAGCAATAAATAGGAAATTATTTCTTTCCTAAAGAAGCTGAGGAACGAACAGGGAGACAAATGTGGAAAGAGTCCCTTAAACCAGGGAGGGTTATTTTTGAGAGAGGCATTTATTAGCTAATGGCACTGCATGCTTCTTTCACTGAACAATTTTATATATAGACTGTGCTGGGCGGAGAAGGAAAGAGTGGTTAGCTGTTTGACCATTGTCCATCTTACAATTTTCTTGTATCTTTTGCACTGGTTGAGCTTATGGCTGGTGTCAGGAAACATTTGTCGATTAATGAAATGGGAAGAGGTGGGATTTCTGACCCTGGAGCCATAGAGGAATAGAGTCCAGAAGACTTACATGTTCTGTTTCTGAAAAGCATAAGCTGAGCATTAATCTCTCAAAGTTCCCTCATAGCAACTCACTTATGGACTTCCCTGGGACTATAGCTCCCTCCAGATGGCTTCAAGTATAGCATTTTTATTTTTATTTTTTAATGTTTTATTTATTTATTCATGAGAGTCAGAGAGAGAGAGAGAGACGCAGAGGCAGAGGGAGAAGCAGGCTCCCAGCCTAGCAGGGAGCCCGATGCGGGACTCGATCCCAGGACCCTGGGATCATGACCTGAGCCAAAGGCAGACGCTTAACCATCTGAGCCACCCAGGCGCCCCAAGTATAGCATTTTTAAAAGGGAAATTCCCACTGTCATCAAAATTATATGCCCCCTGGTTTGCTAGAGAGCCTCTTGTCATTTAGAGCTAATTCCCAAAACGCATTGCAAGTCCATGTCTCCTTCTGACAAAACCAAGTAGGTTTCAACACCTCAAATCTAAATAGCCAAAATAAAGAATGTTAAAACCTTGTTGGAGTACTTATCCTGTTTGTATTTCCTGATGTCACGAAGCTCCTCAGAATTGTTTTGCCCCCATTTGATTTCTACCTTCACCACGGAGATTACATGGGCAACATAACCAAGTTCATCCAGAGCACCACCCTCTCTGCTTGTCCGACCTTCAGAGAAAACATTTAGCAAGTCCCCCTTCTTCTTCGATATTTTGATCTCTGAAGAGGTCAGCTTCTGCCTCCAGCGTGAAGCTGTTCCAGAGTTCCAGATAACTCTGGCTGGCATAGATCTCTCCCTTCTGAATTTGGGTTATACCTAGCGGCTAGTCCATGGTTAATTCTATGTAGGCTCCTCCAGGAAAAAAGGCACATTTTGGACTTCAGAGGAGTCTGAAGCTGTTCCCTAAAATTCCTGCAGAAGATCAGTCCTCGGTCTGGGGGGATGGCAGGTCACCTGCCGAAGCCATCGGAGATGCTCAGGGGACCAGCGAACATGTAGCTTCTCTGA